ATGGTATTAAAATAATTTAAATACATTTACAATAATTGTAAATAATTGTTCCTGTCACAATAAAATCCGAAAAAGAAAAATTCTAAAACGGCTCTAAAAATAACAGGTGTTATTTTTACACTCACCGGAATTTGAAGTTACTTTTATCCAACTTGACAGTTCTAAATATTAAGAAGATAGTATCTATATAGTTATATACAGGGTGTCCCAATGTTAGCGTACAAAAATTTACCAAGGGGTAGACCAGGCCAAAATAAGATTAAAATTCTTATAAAATATTTTTCTGCCATGCACTCTCACGGAGTTACAGGGTGTTGTTTAGAAAAAAATAATAACAACTTTCCGCAATAACTCAAAAACCCTTTCAGGGATTTAAGTAATTTTTGGGTGAAGTGTATATCTATTAAAGGTCATTAAAACTATATGGTGCTGATTTTGATCTGACGCCAGGGGCGGCCTAGGCCAACTTGTCCTCAAGGTTATGTCTTCATAACTTTTGCATAGCCTAGTTTTATGTAATTGGATTACGTTTTCCTGAATTTGCAATCGATTCTGAACAAAAAATGTGGTCTTGTTTCATAGCTCAAAAATGAACCGGCTTCGAGTAATTTGGGTCTAAAGTATCGACTGCATTAGTCAGTAAAAAAATGCATGTAAACATTTTATTTCTTGTTCTCAATAGGTACCTGCCATTATAAAAAACAAACTTGTTTACCGTTAAGGTACAGTTTCCCATGAATCAACGGTTGCTTGAATTTGCTCGGTGGCTGCATTAATTTTTTGAATCGTCTCTCGTGTTACTGGGTTTGGCATTCACCAGTTGTTTCATATGACCACATTAAAAAAATCAAATGGGTTGAGGTCAGGGAACCTGGGAGGCCACATAATAGGTCCATTTTTCCGAAATCAGCGTTCTGGAAAATGTAAATCGAATCGAATTTGTCTTCTGTTACGAGTAGGTGCTCCATCTTGTTGGTAGTACATCTGATTTCGTAAAGATAATTGAACGTCATCTAGTACGCCATCAACAATATTTTCTAAAAAACCCGTGTATCTCTCTGAATTTAAACGGTCTACAATAATTTGAGAAGGCAGAATGACTCCGTTGAAGATTCCTCCCCAGACATTTATGGAGAATCTTCGTTGAAACGCGGAGGGTCGTATCACATGCGGATTTTCAATGGATCAGATGTGAAAATTTTTTAAATAATTTTTAGCGTTTCTCGTAAAGATAGTTTCATCACCCCACAATATCTTTTGATGGAAATTTTCGCCATTATCGATATTTTCTAACAACCACCTGCAAAATTGTAACCTTTTCTCGGAATCACCAGGATGCAAAATTTGTACTTTATGTAGGTGGTATGGGTGTAGTTCTTCTCGGTTTAAAATTCTTCAGACGCTGGTTCGTGGAATACCTACTTGCGTTTATATTCTTCGAGCACTGGTGGAAGGATCATCAATAACAGGAGGATTATGTATTTCCAATTTTAACATTTCCGACCTCACGGACTCTTTGGAAAACTCGTTGGAATACGTGCTGTGAAGGTTACCTTCTATTTGGAAACCTGTGTAGATATTCTCGTGAGGCCACCAATGAATTTCCATCACAGAAATCGTAGACAAATATCATATCAGCATACTTTCTAGTATCTTCGAGTACTGTAATTAATTTTGACAAGTACGCTTGTAAACAGCTTTGTTTTTTATAAAGACAGGTACCTACTAGATAACAAGAAATAAAATCTTCACATGCATTTTTCTACGAACTAATGCAGTCGATAACTTAGACCCTATTTACTCGAAAACGGTTCATTTTTGAGCTATGAAACAAGAGCACATTTTTTCTTCTGAATCGATTGCAGATTCAGGAAAACATAATCAAATTACATAGAACTAGGATATGCAAAAGTTATAAAGACATAACCTTGAGGACAAGTTGGCCTAGGCCGCCCCTGGCATCAGATCAAAATAATCACCATGTAGTTTTAATCACCTTTAATAGATGTACGCTTCGCCCAAAAATTACTTAATTCCCTGGAAGGGTTTTTGAGTTATTGCGGAAAGTTATTATTTTTTTTCTAAACAACACCCTGTAACTCCGTGAGAGTGCAGGGCAGAAAAATATTTTATAAGAATTTTAATCTTATTTTGGTCCGGTGTACCCCCTGGTAAATTTTTGTACGCTGACACTGGGACACCCTGTATAACTATTAGTTATATGTGTACTTATAATTCATGGAATAAATTCAATGCGATTTTCTTTCACAGTACCTATTACGAATACTGTAATATTATTATTTTTAGAGCTGTTATAGAATTTTTTTCGGGTTTTATGGCATCTTTTAAAATTAAAATGAATAAAAAATTTAGGCAACAAGTTTCCATAACTACTTCGAAGGATATTAAAGATACAGTAATTTTTGCTTGCAGAAATATGGAAAAAAGATTATATAGAAACATTATTACCACTTAATTATGTTTTTATTGTTGTTAAGCATTTTTAGACAAAAATCGTAAGGCCGGTTACACACTGGGCGACTTTTACCGCGGCGGTAAATTTGCCGTCGCCGCCTACAAAATTTGAAATATTTACACATTCAGCGGTACAAGTGCCGCTTAGCAACAACAGTAATCACTTGTCGTACGTGACCCTGCACCTTTGTTTTACTTCCCTAAGATTTTTTGTTCGCGTATTTTATTTGCGCTTAATTATTGTGATTAAAATTTAAATAGTTACTTTGAAAAATATAAATGAACCGGCAACAAGTTATTGCTTTATTACTTTTTCGTCGCCGGAGGAATAAGAAAAGAAAAAATCGTTTAATTTGGATTCATGAAATCAACCAAAAGAGAACAGAATTTGGAGCCTTTCACACCTTATTTGAAGATTTGAATGACGACACCAAGTTTTTAAATTATTTTCGGATGTCCGTCTTGTTATTTGACGAACTGCTTGGGAAGCTAAAAGATAGTATTCAAAGGAAAAATACCCAGTTGAGGAATTGTATTTAACCTATGGAAATGTTGGCAGTTACGAAATCAGAAGATCGTTATGGATCCCTACTTCACTCATGTTGGGATTTTTCAACTATATTCAATCTAAAAAACAAATAATTTCAACACAGATTGAACTGTCCACGCGGTAAAAATCCTCTCAATGTGAAAGCGGCGATATATTCGCATGCGCCACTGACTATACAGCGTCGGCAAAACTGCCGTCAACGCCAGTGGCAGTCGACGGCTGCACAGCTACCGTCGGCGGCAAATCTTCCACGCGATATTTTTACCGCCCAATGTGTAAACTCCATTTGTTTCTTCGCGCCACTAGCAGAACGACGGCGACGGTCAATTTACAGCCGCGGTAAAAATCGCCCAGTGTGTAACCGGCGTAACAGTATATATGAAGATTTATAATGGACTCAAAAACAGCAAAATTAAATCCAAGTCCTGTACACGAAAACTCAATTCAACTCTCAACATACATGCCTATAATTAACCAATATTTGTGCATGGTAATAGGGGAAAATAACAATGTGTTTCATTACCAAATTAACGATCATTTCTGAAACGTTATATACAAAGGAAGAGCATGAATATAAATCAACCAGCACTAGAATTCAACAATACATGTTTTGTAAATAGACAAATATCACGCAATGCATGTAGTGTGGTGTAAAATTATAACGAATTCTTCTGATGGTTTCAATATCCACTGAAAACTACCCGTTTTAATCAAATATGATTTGAATATGTTATTTAAGTTTTAGATCCCACCACACTGAAAAATGTAGTACCTATGTATTATAATAAAAATGTTCAAAATTACCAAATACGAGTATATTCTCTATATAGAACGTACAGTTGAAAAGGAATACAAATAGTAGTCAAGGTAATAGGTAGGTATTTCTAACAAATTAAAAAAAAAAGTAACGATATGGCAAAGTTTAACCGAAATAGAAAATATATACAGGATGTCCGGGAGCGAATGGGCCATATTTTAAGGAAAGCTTCCTTCGAAGAAGTAAACCGACTTACATTATAAGTCAGATTACCTGAAGGAGTAGAATTGTGAAAAAATTGATTTTTGGATAAATGGTTTAAACAATGCTTTATTATGTAAAGAATCTCGGAAAAAATTTTTCTTAAACTTTTTTTGATAAGATTTCACCTGAAGAGTTACCGGGTGGTTCGGGTTTTTTTGAGACGCCCAGTGTATAGGGCTATATGCTAGTAATATTGAGTTTCAAAAGTTGGTCTAGATCGTAAAACATATTTTATTAAGTTAAAAGATTGGAAAAAAGCGAATTTAATTATACTTACTGAAATCCCACCTGTCGCTAAAAATTTGATATAATTTTTTTTTCGAACGGTTTTCTTCACTTGAGAAAGCTTTAAAAATATACAATGCTTGTCTATTCTTTTCCAGTTACCCTGGATATCTAAACGTTTACCTTCGCAAATTTGTAATTTGAATCAAAATAGAAAATTATGCAAACAAGTCATTCAAAATAAGGTTTTCGTTTCAAAAATATTTTCTCCAGTGGAATGCCATAACGCGAGTTTTTACGTTGACGTTTAATCTATTCACACTAAAACCCACTTTATTAACGCATTGTGCACACAAAATTTCATTTCAATATCGTTATTTGTTCAGAACATACTTATTTAGAGATTTGACGTTATATTTGGAAACTAAAATACCCCCGCATCTTATAAATGAAGATTTCAATATTTCATGTTTATGTAAAAATATATTCTTAAATTTAAACAAAGAAAATACTCCTTTATTTTTCACACTTTGTAGTGTTAACCCATACTGTACTGATATGGTCAAATTCTAGAGCTCTCTACAACATCTACTTATTTTTTATAGCTGCTACAAAACTGTTTTATTTATATATAAGGATTCTAGTTTTTTTAATTATATTATACATTTTATTATATTATATTATACTTATTTTATTATATGTGTTATATTATGTATTTTAATATTTCAGATGAGAAGGGCCTTTCGGTGGGAGCTTCCTGTGAATTTACCTGCAGCCCTAAACTCATGCATGTATACTGCAATCCTATTAGCGGATTGTGTGAATGTGAGAAGAAATATCCAGTCAAACTCAACAACCCCTATGCAGGTTGCAGCAAACGTAAGTGTACACGGTAAATTGCACAAAAAATCGGTGGCTCGATGCCAAGCAGGGGATATCTGCAGTAACCTCGATTGTAGAGAGAGAAAATGAATCCAGTCAATTTGCAGGGTAAACCTTGATATTTAAATAACAAATTTTGAAATGCGAAATTTGAATATTCAAACCCAATTTACGCTCAGCAATTGTTAATGTCAAAGAATACAAAGAAGTGCGGAATATAGTCTTATACATACCTCAGAAGGGAAACATATATAATTACTTAATTACTTTGTTATTTATTAGTACTGAAAAAGAAAATATGATATAGAAGTTCAAAGTACTCCAAAAATTTTGAACCTTTTTGTGATCATTTTTGAAATAATTTTAAATGCTATCAAAAAATCATAAAACTTTTTATAAGAGTTTTTATCAAACTTTTTATAAAACTGGCAATATTGTAATAGACCTGAGATTCTTACATTCCACATGATTGAAAATTTTAAGGATCAGCATTATAAGATATTGCTTCCAACATAATTCAATTCATAATTCAAATATACTATTTTCTAAGCAAAAGTTTATACACGTCTTGAGTTGATCGCAATATTTATTTGCTGCTTTAAACTAAAATAAATAACTGAAGTGTGAAATATAGAGAATAAAAAATGAAACACTATTGCACATTAAGTTGGTTACTGACAAATATATGTCATACAAGTCTATTAAATAATACAAACTCTTACAAGTATCTTACAATACTGTTCCATGCAACTAAAGATGTTTCCTTGTTTATTTTATTTAAAATTGTACACAATATAAATTGTTCTTGAAATCGTTAACAAAAAGTAAAAAATTAAAAATTAAACAACAAAAAAATATTTATTTTCCACAACTCTCTCTAGGACTATGACAAATATTTTAGGTTGTTTTACTGTTTGAAAACGCAACAGTTGTTAATGTATAAGGTGATTTACAGAAAATAGTGACATAGTTATTCTCTCAAAGGTGTTCTTATAGAACCTATTCCATAATAGGTACCCTTCTCTAGTGATTGGAAAACCATTCTTACGCCGAATAAATGCTAATATGATCAAGATTTTTGTTTAGTTTTTCTATTGTGGGGGAATTTCATCGCAATCGTGCAGTTGTGATACATCTACAATTACTATTTTACAAGTTGAACATTTAATTCTAACTAATATACACATAAAATTTGACACTTGTAAATGAATATATACATTTGTTAACAAGATATTGTTTTCTTCATTCTTTTTTTAATTTCAGCCAAGAGACTGGGAGACCAGTGCTACTACAAGGAAGCTTGCGAGTATACCGACCAGCACTCTTCCTGCATTCAAATCCACCACAACGCCATATGCCAGTGTAAAAATGGATACCATTCCGTATCTATTCAGAAACCTTCGAAAAGAGTATTTTGTGCTGAGGGTATGTATTTTTTTATTTATAAGATGTATCTCTTTATAGACGTGAAAAACGAGCATGTCACCGATCTTTAAATTTTTCACATTCATACAATGACCAATTATAGCAAGGAACACAGTCATTAAGAATCATTCCACGCCTATGAATATTTTACAAATTGTATAAGGGATAAAGTACGATGGTTTTTCGGGTTGTTATACCACGGCCTATGTTGTTCTTGGGCTAGGCTATGTGGCGTCGGATCCGTTATTAGAACTCCTAGCCAACCCCGATGAAATACAATTTCAAATATAATATAATTCAAAAAAAGAATCCAAAAAAATCATAGGTGTAGTGATTTCTAATTTTCTAAAGGGTAGTAACCGCCTAAAAAAATGTAAATGGCTAAACCAACGATTTTATTTCTGATGCTTACATTGTATTTAATATAGTATTTTTACATTTTTTTTGAGATGAACACTTTTGAAGTTATTTTCAACATTGGTAGGTACTACTCACAGACATATTATTTAAATGTGTTTTATTACTGAGTATTTATCATTATTATTATTATTAAATTTAAAAAATAATTATTCAAAAATGGCCCATTCTTCGAATTAAATAAAATATATCTTTAATGGAAATACCAACAGATATCAAATACACTTATCCAATTTCAAAATATAAAGTGGCGTTGAATTTCTCCAGTACCTCCGCCACTGGTTGGGAGATTTGTGTTTCAGCTTAGCAAATTTTTGCTCATAATTAGTAGTTACTAGCCCATGTTGTATCAATCTACGTCAAATGATATTTTTTTTAAATTTCAACAAATGTATATTTATAATAACTGTTTTTATTGATTTGTGATGTATTACTAAAGTTTGTCAGAGTATGTCATTAACACCCTATGCATACCAAAAGACATTCAGAAAAATATAAGTATACATAAAATACAAATATTTTAACTTCGTAGGAAACATTCTAGATAATTATTAAACCTATTATTATCATTTAGAGAAGTTTAGATTATAATTTTTCCCCATCATAATTCTATACATTTCAGATAAACTATATGTGACATATTTTAACAAATACCAACATAAAGACAATACATATATATCAATGCTTTTGTTCTAACCTACCTTAAAATTATTAAATGGATGTTATTATATGACTACAGAAACCATAATGTGCCCGAACGTCGTTAAAACACAAAAATATATTTTGAATAAAATCATTGTCGTATTATTATTATTAGCAAAATACGGCTTTCAAAACCTTTAGCAATGGAAATCTTGAAAAGGTCTTTGACGTAACTTTTGTAATCCCATAATTTATATAAATCGCGCTATAGAAATAAATCTTCTATATAGGAGAAATGTTGCGATTATAAATACATTAAATATAGGAGACATACAGATTTTTTTTTTGAAAAACAGATAATCACTTAAAAATTTAAACAAGTATTGAATCGTAAACAACAAGTCAATTAATGTTTTGAGGAAATTTTATAATACGAGGTTTGTACAAAATTTAGTATCTATGTTTGCCACCAAAAAACGCTCATGTCAGAACAAAAAGCGATGTCGCAGTTAATTCTTTGTACTCACAATTTAGCTGTGTGAGCATCGAGTATTATCAATCACAAATTGGGATGACGTATATGAGAAACACACAGTAGGAGATTTGGGACTATTATTTAAATTCAGACTAGTCAAACACCGTACCAGTGCTTACATCTAAAGTGAAGAACGAAACTCTTGCAAGAGAAAATATTATCAGAACGTACAGAAATAGTTGGATTAATATTCTTAGAGATACTCAGGCATCTCTAAAATCTTTGGCATATCCGAAAATGACGTCTAAAGTGAAATGGGACTTCCTGGATGGGGGGAGGGGTGTTTGGAGGGAAATTGACGAAGTAGCTGGGAGGGCTTTACTATATTGATTGGTCCGAAATCTGTTCTACCGTAAAAAAGATTTGAATGATTTGCTGATGTACCAATAAGGGAAGATTTGCTTTAAACTACCGTATAGAAAAGAGAACTGCAACAAGTAAAAATTTGTTACATAGTGACAGTAGAGCAACAAACGCAACCACCAACCTTAGGAAAAATGAAAGGTTTACTTTAGTTTACAATGTTGCAACCAATGGCAAACGTGACACTAATTCAACGCAAGAATGTGTCCTTTTAAATGCGATTCCATACAGTTGAAATTGCTGCGTCAGAAAAAACTTTTAGATCAAGAGAAACAAGTACTTTTATGGACAACCAAAATTGAGATTTAATATAAACAATTTCATAAAATATCATGCAGCAAATGCAAGTGTACACTGCTTCTAGCCACCAAAGTTTTTTATATTCAAATAAGAAAGACCTGATGTTTACGATGAATGTCGTATGTTTATTATAACGAGGACTTAAAGGAAATGATCAAACAAAATCGCCGTTTTACTCTTTATACACTCTTGGTACATGCCACATTAATTTTAATCATAAATCATAAAATCCATGCCAGATGACTGTAAACAAGTGGTTGTACTAGATGGGAGAGTTCTATGAACTTGAAATGCAGTAGTTCATCTGATATTACGAAAAACGTTTAACTTGGATCTGATTCGATGTAGAATAATAAGTATTCATAATGGATCAAAAACAAATGTGTTTCATGGAAGTTTATTTAAAAACTGAAGTGGTAGTACATTCTGGTCGAAACACTGGTATAAAAGATGTAATGAAATTAAAGATTAATTAATACTATACAAATTCCAATAAGGCCCGTTTACAGGCAAACAAATAATGTGAGGCGGGAAAGATGGGACCATCGATAAAGGAAGTAAAAAAAAAATAGGTGGGCAAATAATCACTTTTTTATTACTGGAAACATAGTCTTCATATATTATGAAAGGATTTAGATACATTTAAGTACCTAAAATTTATGACCTACTAATTTTTCATTAATTGTGAATTTGCTTTTAAATAGTTTAATAGTTATTAACATGGAATACGTAGAACGTTTAATGTTAATTTTTATTTATTTAAATATTTATTACATTATAAAAAAAAATAAAAAAACAAAGCAAAGAGAGATCAAAGGACTATTTTATTTCACAACATTTTTAATTAATCCGTTTTACTTTTTAAATAACAAATATTTTTAAATGTAGGTCAGTCAGTAAAATAATGTAGTAAATTTGATATTTCACAGAAAACTATTTTATTTTATTATAGCTGAAAAAATATCAAACTATTTTGATGCATTGTAAAAGGAAAACATAAATACCTTTTCTAGACCGATCAACGTCTCTTTTTTAGGGGGAAAAAAGGAAATTTTTTCCTTGGCTTTTTTTAGTTGGAATTGTTAAGGGGGTTTTTATTGATTGAAAAAAAATAAATGCGTGAGCAGGGGCGGCGGAGGGTTGATTTGGGGGGTTGAAAAGTTATGAAAAATTGTATCATTGGGATTTCTGGCGAAAGTTGACATCAAGCAAAAAAGTATCCAATACAAAAGTTGTAAATCATGCAAAAATCTACAACTTTTGTAGAAGTCACTTTTTAAGATAACCTGAAAATTTCCGAGAAAAATGTAAAAAACAGGTTTTTTCTGATTTTTCGTTTTTTATTTCTCATTTCCCCTAAAATAATTTAATTTTGACGAAGCTTGGTGAAAGTATACCTTTCTCTGCCTTAAATAACCTCAAATTTTTTTAGATAAAAAAATCGAGAAGTTTATGAGATATTCACTTTTTTCGGCCTGAAACACTTTTTTTTGAAAGAAAAATTCTACTTAAAAAAATCATCGTACAGAGTTCTGCCGGTAATCATTTTTTTTTGTTTTGACATATACTTTTTGGTGAAATAAAAAAAGTTGTAATCACAGTTCAAAAACATGCTAAAAAATGCAAAAAAAGTAAAAAATTACTTGCAGCAATGAATTTTTCAGTAATTGTTGATAATTTGTTTAAATTAAAAAAAAACAGAAACTGAATACACCATTCAATTGTACGAAAAAAATACAAAAAAAAGCTGTCTCACTGTTTGACCCAAAACTATTTTTGTACAGTATTGCTATAATCATAAGAGTGAATAAATAAAATGATTTTAATAATTTTTTCCCCGTAGGATCGATTAGTGTACTTATTTTTAAAAGTTTGATAAATTCATAGATATACAGTATGTCCAAGATAAGGATGGAATAGCATTAGGATCTAGAAAACGGTAAGAGATACAGGGTAGCTCAGATTAGAAAAAAAAGTTGTGTTTTTTTATACCTAACAATATGCTGTTTAGAAAGTTTTAAAATTCCGGGCAGTTCCGGAGATATCCGGAAAAAACCGAAATTTTGCAAAATTGTTTAATTTTTCTGGCTTTATTTGAAAACGAATTTTAAAATAAATTACATATTTACAATGCTACTTTTTTCGCTCAATACAATGGCGTCAACATTTTTGCAATCCGACGTTTCGTCTTCGAGAGGCCATCATCGGGTTAATTTTTTTAATTATGTCGCTGCTATTTTTATGACAAAATCTAGTCATTTTTAATTTTGAATTAGAGGATATTACTATTGTAATCGTTTAAAAAGCAGCTTGTTTTACCGATAATTTTTAATAATTTTTTCCTGAGTACGGCTCTGAACGTTTTCAAAATATCTATTGGATGAAGTCATAACAGTATAAAAGTCAAACCGCGCAAAATATCCAACAATTTTTTACTCCTGTCTCTCCTCCAATAGATACAGGTATTTTGAAAGCGTTCAGAGCCGTACTCAGGAAATATTTTTAATGATAGCTAAAACAAGCTAAAAGCTTTTTAAACGATTACAATAGTAATATCCTCTAATTCAGAATTAAAAATTAGATTTTGTCATAAAAATAGCAGCTACGTATTTAAAAAAATTAACCCGATAATGGCCCCTCGAAGACGAAACGTCGGATTGCAAAAATGACGCCATTGGATAGACCGAAAAAAGTGGCAATGTAAATATGCAATTTATTTTAAAATTCGTTTTCAAATAAAGCCAGAAAAAAATAAAACGATTTTGCAAAATTTCGGGTTTTCAGATTTCGCGTCAACAGTAGACTTTGCAGTTAATACTTTGTATTGCTGAAATCTCAAATCGTCCAGAGATAATTTATCATTTGAGCATTTGTAATTCGACTTAGATGTTTTTAGCAATACTGTACAAAAATAAAGTTTTGGGTCAAACAATGAGACACAGTTTTTTTTTATTTTTTTCCGTAGAATTGAATAGTGTAATCAGTTAACAACAATACAATCACTTTTCGATTTTTTTGTAGTAATTTTTATCTTTACGTAATAAAGTCAGCCTTATTCAATACCCTGTACCTGGAATTGACCTATAGACCAGGAATTCAGGAGTTTTCGGACTCGAACTTCAGATTCGCAATCAGCGACCGCAAAAACTCGAAGTAACAAAATTAAGGCAAAAATATTACATAGAAAAATGTGTAATTTTAAGGGGTAGGTGGTTCCCAACCCTTTGTGGGATAACTTATTTTACCTTTTTTTGGTATGTTCTCTATCAGCCTGCATTTATATATTTGGTAGAATAAAATACAAGGCTATAGTTTTTCACATTGTTTTTGCACTAACATTCGTCATTTGATTTTGAGCGTGGAATTAACCCCCTCATAGGGCTGGGTGCGTATTTAATTTGTATATATTTCTTTCCAATGCTTAAAATATTATTTCAAAATGTTTTTTCAAAGTATTTACAAATTGTAGCCTCTCATTATAGAGACCTTATCCTCACTATTTCACCCTATTTTAAGGTATATTTTAGCGTTTTATTAAAAAATTCCTTGGTAAATCGGTTTTTGAGCTGTTGATTTGGAATTAGCATAAAAAAATACCCAAGATCTATGTAGATACTCATGTCTCTGGTACAGAACTTTTTTTTCTTGGGCTGTGTAAGTTAAAAAAAATGTACCCCTTTTATTATCTGATAATTATATAGAGTCTATACCTATAATTACCACTCCATTTTCTGTACACAGTTCCGTCGCTGCAACAGGGCCGGATCTTACTTTGCCGCATGTGAATGTAACAGTAACTACGTATTTCCTTTTCAGACGTTGTCATCATAACATCAGATTTCTCCACATTTGCTGGAGTTCTATCTGGAATAGCTGTACTATCAGGGCTTATATGTTTCGTGCTTCATTTATTTAATCAGAATTTGTACGGAACTCGCCACCATCGGCATAGATTTGGTAATGCAAATTTGGCACCGCCTATTTTATTTTCTAGCGATCCAGGTAAGGAATTTGCATTTTATTGAGTGTTCCTTTGCTGTCGAATCAATAAGTATGTCTGCAACCAATTTCAGTAACTACAGCAGTTAATAATGTCTAATATTAGACTGGTTTTCGAATAAAAACAAATATATGTATACCTGCTACCAAGCATAACAGTTACTAAAGTACATGGCAATAAACTAAATGTAGATACCTGTTCCACTTTCGATTTTTAAGAGTGTGAATTTATTTAGTAACATGAGGATTTTTTTAATATATTTGCTTCTAACTTTCTAGTTATTTTCTCGTATTTTTATATTAGTATGCGTTTGTTAGTTAACTATTTTTTCTTAAATGTTATATTTCAGTATTCTATGATCACAAAATAATTTTTCTACAAAACTGTTAAAAGTGGGCTTTTTAATTGTCATTTTTGATGTTAAAAATGTCATTTTTTGACACGCGTGTTAAAAGTAAGTTACTTTTAACACTAGTGTTAAAAGTAAATCAAAGTTTATTTAAATTTTGTTTTGAAAATTAATAAAACGTTTTAACAAACACATGAACAACTTTTTATTTTAAATAAGTACAAACCAACATTTTAACTAGTTATTACTATTAACATTTATAGTAAAATTAGAACAATTTGAAATTGTAATTCCCTGCGGAGTCATCATACTTAAGTTGGTTTTACTGTCAACATGTGTGACACATCTATTTTCTGTAGAAATACTACTGGTAGTACTGGTGGTCTTGCTAGTAGTTGCAGCAGTAGGAAGTATTTGGCACGCAATTTCCTTCTTCTGTTCCAGTGAATTTTCAATGTAGCCTTCAGCTACCGTCGAAGATTTCCATCCTCCATGTCTCTTGATGGTAGTAAGATTTGCACCAGAATCTGCTAACAATGTCGCCGATGAACGACGAAAACAGTGTCCGGTGTAGAGTTGAGGATTTGGTAGATTCAAGAACTCTGCAATGTCGGCAGGCATTTTACCAAACATGTTAATTCCGACTGGATTCTTCACACATTTATTCTTCATATATTTAAGAAAAAGTCGTCTATGGTCAGCGTTGGGTGGCCGGAGTGCCATATACTTTCTAAAAAAGTTTAAATAGAATTCACCAACAACACTGAAAGTCCGAGGCACTTTCGTTTTAGTATCTGGTATGGTCACAACAACCGAAGTGCCCAAATATTCGATATTGTCGATGGTCATCTGACACAATTCCTCCCGGCGACACGCCCCGAAGACACCCACTATTGCTGCGACTTTCATCATCAGATACTTTTCGTCTTCTGCTTCTGTGAGAAATTTGTCGATATGCGTCTTCGTCAAAACTTTTGACTTTTTTGCTTGATATCCTTCACCCTTCCGTTTTAAAAAAGCAATAAGTTTATAATGTTTGCTTATATCTTGATCTTGCTTTATTTTTAACATAGTTTTGATCATGGAATAATTTGACCACAGCGTTGACGATTTCCATATCTTGGCTTTTTCCTCAAAATATGCCAGTAAAACACTTTCGTTACATTTCCCAGGGACCTTTTNTTTTTTCTACAAAACTGTTAAAAGTGGGCTTTTTAATTGTCATTTTTGATGTTAAAAATGTCATTTTTTGACACGCGTGTTAAAAGTAAGTTACTTTTAACACTAGTGTTAAAAGTAAATCAAAGTTTATTTAAATTTTTTCCGTAACTAACAACAGCACTGGTTGCTACGAAAATTTTGGTTCATAAACACTGCGATCTGTGTGGTATTTTTTGATTTCTTATTTTTATTGAGTTTAAAATTCTTCCGATTGTTTTGTAGAAAAAATAGTGTATGATATACGTGTTAAAAGTGATTTTATTTTGTTCGTGAAGTTAAAAAACTCGCTACGCTCGTTTTTTAATCATCTTCACTCACAAAATAAAATCTTACTTTTAACACGTATATCATAAACAGCTATTTCTCGCAATTTCCTTATTTTATTCTTAAAAAATTCGGCAAAATTCCCTATCTGGAATATACATTTTTGCACTCTGGGAATTCAAAACGCTATTTAATCTATACTTGCGGATAGTAAAGAGTGACACGAATTAAATTTGCGTTTACTCCCCTGGAATTAAATGTACTTAAGCAAATTTGACATTACTGACATAAATCAATATCTTCATTAATTTTGAACTTAACACAGCCAAGAAAGTTATATTCTCAAGGCTGCTTTGATCATTAGAGATCATCAATTGAATTGATCATCAATTATAGAACTTTGATATATTTACTTGACTGATGGTATTACACTAAGGCCGACATCTTTTCTAAGTGTATTTCGCAAAACTCAATTTCAGAAAATTTCAATTACATCTCAGTAATTTTAACTTTTAACAAGGTGCATTACTTGTACTTCAAATTAATTATTTCTATTTTAAAAAGTTTAAAAAATTATATGTAGGTAAGAGAAAGAGAAAATTGATTTTCAGAAACATAATTTATATGTGCCAGACAGTTATTTATTATAAGTATTCGTCACCGTTTTTAAAATTTAAGTAATTTGAGTTAGATTTTACAGTCAAAACTGAAACATAGTATAAAATATTTCACGTGAAAAGCTATTCTAAAATAAAATTCGCTGTTATTCAATTCACGCTTCTGAAATCTGTATAGATAGTGTAATTCATACCTATATATTATTTTCTAAAATACATATTTATCAAATATCACGTTACGTGCCGTTCTCTAAATTTCAAAATTGGAAACACTTTTTATTTGTTCTTAAAAACAAACATGAACAACAAAATACAGAACAGAAAGTTTTAGAATAAAATTATATCTAAAATTGTTTTTATTGAGTCACGGTTGTTTAAAACTTGCTTAATTTTCTGAATTTTAATTGTAGCAATTTATTTTCAATTTATATATTTATCCGCAAATTTCACCGACAACGTTCGACTGCATATTCACGACAATAAATAAATACGATCTACTAAAAATAAAGTTAAATAAAAACTTTTTGGTTTTGGACCATTATGACGTAGGTATTATTTCTTAAAGTTTTAGTCAAGTCGATGTACTGGGTGATAGTTTTCTTCGGTTACTTCTCCCTTTTAGCGGTCAAAACATTTACAGTGGTCGTATTTTTTAAAACGGGCAGCAACATTGAAAAGGTCATTTTAATTAAAAAAAAATGTCTGTTAAGAAAATCGCCTACAGAAAGCCATTCTTGAGAAAAATGGCATTATTTGCAGGTCTGTATGTTTCGGTTTGCGTAGCAGTGTCACGGATTAAAACTTTCAGTTCAGTAGGCGATGAAAACAAGATGTTAATTGCTGTGGCTATATCAGGTAATGTCATTAGGTATTGTCGTGTTTCTTTAGGATTCTCATCACTCCACACATGCAAATTATGAAGTGTCCGCAGTGTATAATAATCCGAATAAATGTGCTAAATTTTAACGCGATCCGTAAAAGGGTTATGAAGTTATTAATTAAATTAGCTTTATTTTTACAACTTTAAAGTGTTAGTGATGACTTTTGAAATGTGTGATGTTTAGGAACAACGATGCAACGTAATATTTTGCTTGAAACTGGGGAAAACTTTCACGGAAATGTTTCAACTTTCAAAACAAACTTAAAGAGATCATACTCTGGGTCGTACGCAATGTTATGAATGGTTTTCACGATTTATAAGTGGTCGTCAGTCAAATAAAGATGATCCTTCACTAGGAAGGCCTTGGACTTCAACTGATGACTCCTGCATTCAGAAAGTCAAATATTTAGTGCCTGCAAATGAATGACTGACTGTCAGAAAAATTGCAGAAGAGGGTAGCATGTCAACTGGGTCATACCATGAAATTTTGACTGAAAAATTGAAGATGCGTGGAGTTGTAGCAAAATTTGTTCCTCGTTTGATGACCGAACAATAAAAATAAAATCGTGGGGACGTTTGTCGGCAACTCCTTGAACAATCCAATGACAATGAAACATTCATTCAAAGGATCATAACGGGAGACGAAAGCTGGGTTTACGGCTACGACATAGAGTTAAAAGTTCAAACATTAACATGGATTGGTAATGGATCTGCACGCCCAACAAAAGTCTCAATTCACTTTTCACACTCTCAATCCTCACTTTTTTTCGACTTTAGTGGAATCGTGCACTTTGAATTCTTGCCTCAATGTGAAATAGTGAATCGTGTGTATTATCAAGCCATTTTACAACGGTTACATGAAAAAATACGCAAAAAGAGACGAAATTTGCACCATGACAATGCGCCCGTAGACTCAGCTTTGTTAGTTCGTCAGTTTTGTGCAAACAATTATATTAGTGTCCTCCCTCATCCTCCTTACTCGTCAAACCTGGCTCCTTGCGATTTTTCCTTATTTCATACATTAAAGGCAGACTATTTCAAATGATGCTATACGGGACTGCTCCGCGAAATGAAAACACCGCTAGAAAAAGGGTGTGAATGGGCGAGAGGAATACTTTGAATGAGACAAGAATCAATGATGTATAAAATTAACAATAAAGTTAAAAAAATTAAGTTCGGTTATTTTCGTTATTTTCTAAACAAACCTCGTATTTGAGATTATTTATTTTTGTCATAATTTTCTGTTTATAAGGCGTTGGTGAAACACTGATTTAAATTTGCTCCTTAGGTACATATGTGGCGCAGAAAAATATCTACTTCTATTACTTTGCAAATATTGTATATTAAACATTTATGATGAGAGCTTGTATTATTTTTTGAGATTTTTTCCGAATTTGCTGGAGTTTAAGAAAACCTTGTTTACAGTTCGCATTTCTTATTGTGTCGGTAAAATGCAATAATTAATGATAACGCCATTGTGTCGCCTTTACAATGGGAAGGGCCATTTCCGACTGACATTGTGACGTGCTTAAGTTACGTAATCCAGTTCTCAAGGCAGTTTCACAATTTCTGTTCATCCTCTTCATAAATTAATCACCAGCCATTTGTTTGCTCTAGGGCGTTATCCTTAATAGTACGTTAGTATCAATTTTCATTTTACTCAGACATATT